TGCTCTTTCTGTTTCCGAGGTCGAAAAGGGGGGTCGCCATTTAAAAAGACCGATTTGTTCTTGGTATGACCTTGAACCTTGACTTTGACCTTAAGGTCAAGGTTACCATTGGATGCGCCGTGAAAAATGTTGAAACTTGTCCTCGCCATTTATCCCAAAAATGCTGAGATGTCCGCTGAAATTTTTGGGATTTCCATACTTTTGATTAACCCTGTATATATTTGTGAACAATCGAAACCAAAAAATGAATGAAGTCGCTTCAACATTTTTATAGTAATTAAAAAAAAAACAGTTTTTTAACTTTAACATGCCATATCTCGAAGACGAATTTCTTCGGACGTATTTACTGAAATATTGCACTATTCTATAAATAAACTAGTCAAATCAGGTAAATATCGAGTAGGTAATGGTATTAAATTAGAATTCCGGATCCAAACTGATGAAGGTGCCGAGGATAGATTAGAAGTTGTTTATCCGTTGTGGGTAATTTATTTTTATCGAGGACGCTAAATGGATTAAAGATGAATTCAGTTTGGTGCTAACGTCCTCTTAAGTAAATTGACTTTCCTACGATTCTTATATTGCCTGAAATTATTTATTTGCCACATTATTTAATTTTTTTTTTAATTTAATCGGATATTTGCTACTACACCGAGAAAAGAGTTTCGTTTTTACAGTAAACAAATAGTGGTTTTGAATATGATGTAAACATACAATTTTCTCTGAGATTCGAAGATGTTAAATAAATTCCAATACAAGAAAATATAATGGATTGAAGTTAATGTATGGAGTGAAGAATATTTATTTGTTTGAGTTAAAAAAATAAAATATTTAGTTTATTCGTATCAAACATTTTTTCTGGGCTACATAAATCATTTTATATGTAAAAAATTGCAGGTTTAATAGAGAATAATGTTTCTTTAAGAAAATTAAATATGTTTTAGGCATATGTATATTATATTAATACATTTGTATGTATATTACAGTGCAAGACAATTGGATATCGTTAAAGAAATACATTCTTTAACAAAATGCAAATGATTTTAAATCAAATAAATTTATTTTCCACTAAAATGTGATATACAGGGTGTAAGAAGTTTGACTGCGCCATTACTTCAGCATGAGATAAAGTAATCATAAATGAACAAAAAAAATGTATATTACATGGACGTAAGGTTAACAGTTTTCAAAATACAGCGAATATTAATATTGGGGAGTTTCATTACAATGTGACAACAGCGCTGAACCTAACGCTACACATCTGATGTATACCACGTGTGCACGCGGCCGACTTGTCCTACGGAAAAAATGTAAACAACTATTATTATGAAAATGTATCGATTTTGTAGTACGAAGATAGTGTTGTGCTGAAATTTTAGCTCGAATTTTAATAATTATGAATATCTTAAAAAAGGAACTTAAACTTTTAATCAAATTAATGAAAAATATGTAATTAAAGTAATATCCAAAGATTCACGTCGTCCAAATAATCAGGCGTAGTAAAAATAATTTAGGTGCTTACCAAAAAGCAAAATTTAGTAATTTTTAAACGCACAAGTACAAAATAAACTACAACATATGCTTAAAATGTCCACCATCGTTTTCGATGGATGCACGACACCTTCGAATCCAATTTTCACACATTCGCTGGAAAACATCTCAAGAAAAGGAAATAGTGGTACTCAAAAAATACTTAAACACGGTCCAATTCCAGATATCAACTGAATTGCGTATTGCTGGGCAGCTTAGTATCTCGTGTTATCCGCCGCGCCGTTGTCACATTGCTCGATATAAATTTTATCGAATTTTAAATTTATTATAATTATTTTTCAGAATTAAGCATAAAAAGTTCAAAAAAGTGATAAAACATTATATTTTATGGTATTCTATGCGCGCAGTTGTCAATATTCCTTAATTAATTGAACTTTTGTACATCAAGTTGAAGATATTGATATTTTTTTCTCGGAAATGGTTGAGTTTAGAACCCATGTCATAAAGGTTTTTTTTTGTTTATTTTAATGTATTCTATCGTCTGCTAAAATTAAGGCAGTCAAATTTCTAACCCTGTATTGTCAGTACCAATAACAATATTAATTATTCCTTCCCCAATGCTTCAAAGTTAAACTGGTAGACGCAAATATTTTAACTGCTCTTTTTCGTTTTTCATAAAGTCTCAAATTTATTTGTAAACTAAAATACAATAACATATTTTATTAATATTAATTTAGGTGGTTAAAAAAACAAAACNATCTCGTGTTATCCGCCGCGCCGTTGTCACATTGCTCGATATAAGTTTTATCGAATTTTAAATTTATTATAATTATTTTTCAGAATTAAGCATAAAAAGTTCAAAAAAGTGATAAAATATTATATTTTATGGTATTCTATGCGTGCAGTTGTCAATATTCCTTAATTAATCGAACTTTTGTACATCAAGTTGAAGATATTGATAGTTTTTTTCTCGGAAATGGTTGAGTTTAGAACCCATGGTTAAAAAAAACAAAACCAATAATGGTTAAATTACATTTGCACTAAAACTTTCTAAACTAAACTAAACTCTAGACTCTAGACAAATACACTGTTCTCTCTGTGTAAGAAAATATATATTTTTTAAATCTACTCTAGGAATCTTTAATAGATAATTTTACCAGAAAGACTATTTACATGCTTCACGTTAGTTTAAATGTACTTACGTTTTTTATTTTAAGATGTTGTTATTCTGAATAAATTTCCGAAAACTCGAATTAATATGCTGTAGAATTAATAACTGTGACTGTGCAGAAAATAATTGTGCGTCTCTTAGTAAGCAAAAACAAAGTAGAATATATTTGGAACATCTCCAAAAGCGAAATACATAGTTTATCCCTCGAATTAATGAATTACTATTAAGTAATTACCTACAGACTGCTAAACTTTAATATTTCATATGTACATAAGTGTTATAAATGAAAAATTATGTGAATACAGTTTAATTGCGAATATTTGAAGTTTCGTAAAATATAGGCATACATAGTTAACTACGGTAATGATGTTTTGTATATTTTTCTACTTATAAAAGCGAGTTGTTATGAAAATAACATTGTAGTTAATTTAATATACAGGGTGTTTCAAAATACATGGGCCAACGCTCTGGGGCAGATTCCTAACCCAAAAACAAGATTATTTTTTCATATAAACATGACTTCGCTTCGTTTCTTGGTTACAGGGTGTCAAAATTTTAAGAATAAAATATGTTTTTTCAAAAAATCTAGATTTTCACTTTATGGAATTAAATAAAATTTAGACAACCAACTATTTACAACCGAATTCACATTCCTAGGTGACTCGATAAACAAAATATAATATTTTCAGGAAATGTTGAAAGTGTCCACCTTCAGCTCGAATACAATCCCGAATACGTTTTTTGATGTTATTTCTTACTCGTCAAAATATCCCTATGTCTCGGCGAATTAAAGCGAATGTGTCTGATAACGTTGCCAAAGATCTTCCCTTGAAGTGACAGGAGTTTTATAAACAAGCTCTTTTACATGTCCCTAGAGGTAGAAATCCATGGGTGTTTTTCTTTGATTAAATCCAAAGGCTTGGAAGTAAGTCCGGTGTAATTCATGTTCAACATAATAATACCTAGGAATGTGTATCCGGTTGTAAATAGTTTCATTTAATTCCAATTGGAAATCTAGATTTTTGGAAAAAACATATTTTAAAACTTTGACACACATTTTTAGTAAAAATTCTCTTTTCCTTCTTCTGCAAAAGTTCACAAAACAGAAAACTTATTTTACAATACATATTCACAAATCTAGTCAGAATATAACATAACTTTATATTTTTAAACATTATTATTAATTTTATACCAGATCTTAAACTTTCTGAACGTGGCAATCATCAGTTGAAGTGAAAGGCCTTCCTGGTCGAGGATCGTCTTTAACTGACTGACGACTATTTTTAAATCATGAAAACCATTCATAACATTATGTATGAACATCATCTCCGTTAGATTGTTTCAAAGTTTACCCCAGTTTCACGTAGCATCGTTGTTCCACAAAATCGCACATTTCAAAAATCGTCAATAACACTTAATTCCCGTCTATGGAGATGAACTCTACTGATGTGGTCGTCGAAGCAAGTGCCTCGTTTTGTTGGTGTAGGGCAGGGGTCGGCAAACCGCGGCTCGCGAGCCGCATGCGGCTCTTTCAAGAGACAATTACGGCTCTTCAAGTTCCTCTAAAAATTAAAAGTTAAAGCGGACAGACAAGCAGCACACGAGTACACATAAAGACGCGTATAAACTTCCGTATTCGATTTAAATTTGAAATAAAATGTAAAAGCAGAAATAAAAATTCGTGGCTCTTTGAAATTCATGAAATTGATATTTCTATTGCAGATGGCTTTTCCGACTTAAAAGTTTGCCGACCCCTATGTCCTGTACATATTTAGTTTCGCGCAACTCACTCGGTTTCAAAAATACAATACCTATGTACGTTTTCAGCGATGTTTCGCATGGTACTAGCAGTGTAGAGCAATATTTGGCAAGTGACAATATGCTTTCCAATGAATCGATATCACCATCCACATGATACGGCATTTGTTTACGTTTGTCAAACATTTGGAGTCTGCTTCGTTTACGTCAATGTCACAACTAAAGAAAAATATGTTTGCCTTAGATCATTTTACACTCAATGCTTACTGATATTTAAGTTGCAGGATTAATTTATAATAAATTTGTCACTCAATTAAATACGAATATAATCTTAAAACTACTTCTTCCACATAAAATCCAACGGTATTTCTTTTGAAATATGATTTTAAATAGCACATAATCATCAATAGTTAAAAAAAGTAATTGGCGTAGATATTTTAGTACTTCTAAGAAGTAACAGATACACAGTATATTTTTAATAGCCATATCCTATTAAATTCATATAAATTTTATTACATAGATTTAAGAGACATCTTATAGCCATAGCCAGTAAGCTACTAATGTTGTAACTTTGTTTCAGGGCTAGCAGCTCATCGACTTTTCTTTCTGTGATACAAAGGTAAATATTAATCTTAAGTAATTAATAATTGTTTCCTATTTCTTTAATGTACTGCGTATTAATTGTTATCGCTGAAAAAATTAAAAAATAATAACCAAACTTATGTAGAAAAATTGTATTTACAATTTAGTAAAAAGTGAATGCAGAACTTTCATTGGGGTCATCAAGATCACCTTTTGACACTTTTTTTGAAGAAAATGCTGAAGAATTAGGCAAAAAGTCACTTTTAGATCACTTTTTCAAGTTACAAATATTTGCAAAGACAGGCGACAGCAATTTTGGAATTTTATTCATTTTAAAAATGCTTCATTGTATTGCATCTTATGAAAACATACCTTTATTTTAGAGAAGAATTTGCACGGACCCATAGAGTTAAGTTTTTTTTTGTTTAAAAATATATTTGTGACCCCTATTTAAATATAGAATATTACCAAATAATTTTTATGTTGTTATGCCATGTGGTATTCGGTGATGCATGTATTTCGGAAACTATAAACTATAGAGAAATTATTAAACGAAGAAGTTTTAGACCATTATGAGAAAACATTATTTACTTTTTAACTTTATCCGTTATTAAGAGCACCATATTGATCTAATTGCTGAACGAAAAAAGGTTTTTTGGATGTTCCATAATTTCTCATAATTATAAAAAATATATCAATAACGTACCAAAGAAACAAGACAATTAAAACTGCACTTACTTTTTAATGTACCCTCCGTTTAGGACCAACTTGACAGGGGAAAAAAAGAGTGTACAAAATTTTATGTCATTATATACTTCTAGTTGATAGCTAGATTTTTTTATGTAGCATTTTTTTAAAACTAAACCAGAAAATTGAAGTGGTCCAGTAATAATAATACTTTGTGCAAGTATTATGTGAAAATCGTTGAAAATATGCATTTTATGGAAATAAAACAATAAAAACTAAAATAAATAAAACACTCGATTTTCCAATCAATTGAAATTATACCTACCCGATGACAGTAGTGCAGGATATTATTCATATAAAATTAGGAAACAATTAACTATCATGCATACGTAGATTTCCAAGATATGGCAAAAACTAAGTTAAACTGCTCCTATTAATAATTTTGGTGAAATTTGGCCCATTTTTTGCCGACACCCTGTATATGTACAATGTAGTTGTGTTAAAACATATACATACATTTTTTTAAATAAAGGGCTATATTTCTATCAACTTAATATTAAAAAGGTCAATGAAAACTTTGGTTTTTAATATTTTGAATTGAAGCCGTGCTTTTGCATAAATACTGCCAAAACATTCGAATCGTCTTAGTAGTGCTTGTTTCCTTTTTTATTCTCATTTAGGTTATTCTAGTTCAGTAATATAATTCGCTAAAACTAAAAGTAACTACTTCAGTAGTTAGTGATACCTAGTGAATGTGTTCCTTGTATCAGTTCAGATTGTTCGTCGTCTGTGAATACTAATAAATAACACAAATGACCGTTTTGGTATCTCTCGAAAATTAAAAGAATTCTCAAGTAGGATCAACAAACTTCCGTCGCCGGTTAAACGACTCAAAAATAAGCACCTCTTTCGACTCCAAGGACAAATATCTATTTGGTTTACGAACGATTGGGTTGGTGTGAAGCGCCAGTTTGTGAATAATTGGCTTTCAATTCGCCTTACGTTTTTTTCTGGACAAACAAAAAGAAGATAATATGCTCATTGATTGATAAAAAATCATTTTTATAAACGCTAAGACGCATGCAACAATATATGTATAAGAAAGTGAAAATGTAATAATAAGTTCTAAAATATTATATATTTTTGTAATAATGAAAGTACCGTACCTACTGACATTTCAATATTTAATATTTTACTGGCGATCATCGCATTTATAGTAGATAGTTTGGTATCATATAACTTATTAGTTCTCATTAGTATGTTAACAGAAGTAAGACAATCGATTGAACGATATATCTATATACAAACACAGCGTCTGTATGGGTGAGATATAAAACAATTCGCCTGCAATAAAGACTTTTAACGGTGATTCTTCAGGTGTATCATAAGGAAGATAAACTCCATAAGGTGTAAAATGTCTAGTATTTAGAATTACACAAACTAAAACCTAAGTTTTTAAAAGAATACTTGGTTATTAAACAAATATGTTTTGACATCAAAATTGACCTATTTTATAAAGTAGTTATGGGTCAACTGTAGCACCAACTTTGGCCAAGAAATTATGAACAGTAGAACTGGTTCTAATTTATTGACAAATTTTGAGATTTTGATATTTATATAATGGTTATGCAAACTCTATAATTTTAACTTTTGTTTTTATTTTAAATATTTAAAGAATAGGTTATATGTATAGATTTGTTTGTAGATAGGATGTTATCAGATTGATTTTAAATACGGAAAATTGGTAGCTTTAAATTTTACCAATAAGTTGGCCGATGTTCTTCGACTAATTGTAAAATGTAAAGGTCCTAACTATATTAGAAAAAGAGAAAGGTCATATCATTGAATGACATAACACAAACATTTTTGGAAAAGAAAATAATTCGGTAAAAAAAGTAAGAGTCTACGTTTATTTTGCTGAACGATGAGGTAAGTTATACAGTGGCGGCTGGACTTGCATAACAGATAGAGCGGAAAAATTTAGGTACAATGTATTGAAAAAAAAATCATATACAATTGTCTAGTATAGTCTTTCCGAAGTCAGTTGAAGATGTATAAAAACGCCTAGCAATAAAATTTAATGAGTTTCATAGGCGTCCCTAAAAAAGTTTTCTGCTAAAGGTAAAACATTATAATAGTTTGTATATAATGTGTAGAAAATTTCTATTATATGTTCATTTGGCCAATAACATATTTTAATTATTTGTCCTCAAACAATTTTATTATATTGATGGCAAATCTCGTTTTGTTCCCTTTCAAATGGTCGTAAAAGGTAGTAAACAAAATCTTCTCTTATTTATTTATCCCTTTCGCAATTGTAATATGAATTATTAATAGAAGGTGCCTATAATAAATTAAAATTACCTGAATCACATCAAATTCCACATAGCTGCACTGCACTGCTAGGCAATTTGTCAACAACTGAGATTTATTACCCAGTCGCCCAGTGACGTTGATGTTATACGCCGCCGTTAGCCCGCGCGCGCATTGTTCAACTGGGCGTATACAATTCTGCCACCTCCACGTTTAGTCCGACCAAACTTGTATATGGGTATGGCTAAATAAATATGGTAACAAGTTTTTCAAACATTTCAATACTGAGTTGCTGCGTCAGCGACCGAACCTTGTAAATACTACCAACCTCTTGATTCTTCAGTTGAATTGGGAAGTAATTGAAATATAGCATAAATGTGGTGTTCAACATATTTTTTTATTGTCAAAATCCCGTCTTCAACTTTTGTCCGAAATAAACTTTTCAATTACTTTTTCGTTAAAGTTTGGTATTTCTCGTACCATTGATTTTTCAATGGATAGCATTGCAAGTGCTGTTAGTCTGTCTTTACAATCTAATTTAAACTTTTACAGTCTTTAAAACAAACAAGAAACAGTACGTAGATAACAAAATTTTACAAGTTAAAAAGCGGTAAATAGCTATTGTTTGGTTATCGATGGACTAATGTAAATATGCGCTACTCCCACTCCATTTTTCACTGCTGCGCGACGGTAACCATGACCACCGCTGTAAACACTTTACAGATATAGGGACGAGCTACAAGGACCCTACGTAATTCGGTACAAAATTAAATTTCGGTTTGAAATGAATTAAAGTCGAATTAAATTAACTGCACATTACAAATTTAACATTTCCGTTTTAATGATTTTCATAAGACTAATCTGTTTAATTATCTAGATAAAGTAAACTAAATTTTAAATTACATTTTTTTACTATTCTAAGAGAAAAATGTCTTATGTCTCTGAAAACAGAAAAAAGTTAACAAACGAAAACAGACCTTAACTGTGTCATAATGTTATATACTCTGTTTGGAAATGAAAGAGACTAATAAAACCCCGAGATAAGAACCGGCCATGGGCGTGGTCATATTTCGTTTCAGGTAATTATCGGGTAACACTAATGCTAACAGGTAATGGGTGTACATTAGTATATTTTACTGGATACATCATAGGGCAGGAGCCAGTGTATTGTGACGATCAATCCAGTCTTAGAAGCTGAATATACGAAGACGTGCTAGTGCAGTAGAGTAAAATTCGACTTGTGTTTAGTGACTATTGTGCCAGTGGATATAATATTGTTTGGGTAAAATGTCGAGCTTATCAGATTACGTACCTGCTAAACGCGTGAAAAGATGTGCGCTGTCTCAGAATGAGAAGATTATTATATTAAATGTATTTAATGCATTGAAACACCAAAATCCTACCAACAGTGTTGACGACATCGTGGAAAAGTGTTCCAAAATGACAGGGATTGGAAAATCGACTATCTACAGACTTTTAAAGGAAACAAAAAATGAACAAGATACTGTAAATCCCCCAAAATCATCTACAGGGAGGTCAAAAGTCGTTATAGATGATTTCTTCAAAAATGTCATTCGCAGAAAAGTACACTCATTTTATTTTAAAAAAGAAATACCAACGCTAAACAAAATTTTAAGTGAACTTTCAGAGGACAACGATTTGCCAAAAATCAGTAGAAGCAAATTATGGGCCGTCTTACGAGAGTTGAATTTTTGCTGGGAAAAGCAGAACAGGAAGTCAGTTCTTATCGATAAAGATGAAATTATTTGTTGGCGAAGATCCTACTTAAGATCAATTAGAAAATTCCGTGACGAAGGGAGGAATATTTATTATCTAGACGAAACTTGGGTCAACGAGGGATATACTGTAACAAAAGTATGGCAAGATAAAAATGTAAAAAGTTTTCGACAAGCATTTTTGGATGGACTTTCAACAGGGTTCAAGGCACCTTCAGGTAAAGGGCGAAGATTAATAGTGACACATATAGGTAGTGCCAGTGGTTTTGTAGATGGCGGTTTACTTTTATTTGAATCTAAA